CGGCGGCGGCGGCGGCGGCGGCGGCCTTGCTGTCCTTGTCCTCCCACCGAAGGGGCTTGTTGAGCGCGGAAGGAGTGTAATTGATCAAACCCCAGGCCTCGAGGAAATCAAAAACCCTCCGAACGGAGCCGACGTCGCCAACGAGAGCCTTGCGGGCCTCGGTGAAGGTGAGCTTCCGAGAAGGGTTTACAGCTCTGGAGTGCTTGACGATGGTGTTGCGGTAGTACTTGTAAAGGCTAGGGTTTTTGGACGGAGAGCGAGAGTCGAAGAACTCCGGGAGGAACCGGACCTCGCAGTGGTGGATATGGTCCGGCGAGAACCAGCTGGAGTAGCTGGGGACAAGGATGACGTTAGCGTCGGCGCTCGGGCTCGGTTGGGTTTGACGCGGAGTGGCGGATCCCGGCGTCTCGGGCTTGACGGAGTTCGGTGAAGGAGCTGGCGGGGGCTTGTCGGAGGAGGTTGCCATGGGCTTTATGTCCGATCTGAGATTTTGGCAGTGAAAGCACTTACAGTTACAGATAACGCGTTTTTTTTTTAAGTTTTCCAGAAACGAGCGTTTCTGCCTGAGGTTTGTCTTGGTGTGTATTATTCTTTCTTGTCAATACGCGTTGGGCCTGAACATGGCCCACTTACAGTCTGCCCTTCCTTGAGGAGTTGGGCATCTTAACTGGCCCACTAAGGCAGGGGAAGGCCTTGACCCTTCAAAACTTGGGCTTAACCTTGAAATAAAGTACGAATGTTAGGTCATCCCTTTGCACCGAAGTTTGAGTCTTTTTTAGTAAGCTCGCCCCCTTTCACCCAAGTTCGACTCCCCCTTATTGTAAATTAGACTCACTTAAAGTAGTTTGGACTATTATTTACAAGAAATGGGCTCAAACTTAAATGCAAAGGGCAGGACTTACTGCCCTAACTAACTAATTTAACTTACAATGAATACCTCTGTAATATAAGTTTTGAGTAATTGATAATTTAAACATTCACAAATTCTTTAATATGAAATAATTGAATGCCTAGTTCATGCAGGAAACTGAATATCTACTTGGGGATGAGAGACGTACGAAACTGAACCAAATAAATTGTACATGAATAATACTAATTATAGATGTCTCTATGATGATGCCGAATGCAAGCATGGTCTGATAATATACTCTGATTTAATTGATGAAACGTCATCGTTCTCTTGTTGCATCCTTGAATTTAAAAATGGCAACAATGTCACTCTTGTTTTTGTCAGGCCCAAGCCGTTGGAGGGTTGACTTATACATCAAAAGCCAATGCGAAACCACTCGAAGGACAACATGTTTGTCCCCTTTGGGAGAGAAACTCTCATGCAACGAGGATATTACTTTTTGTTATTTCTAATTAATAATACAATGACATGTATGATAATTTTTTCACGTGTCAATATGTCATTGACCGGATTGCTATCCCGTTAGTTTTTTGAGTTTTGATTTGTTTTGCCTTTGTCCCCCTCTTCACTCTGTATTGACTCTTTAAAGCTTTTTTTCTTTCTATAATTTAATTTAATGGCAATTATTTATGAGTTTTTATTTTCAGAGATCCCTCAGGCCGGTGGAGGTTTTTGTCTGTTCTATACATGGGCAAAGCCTCATGTTTCCTCTTCTTCTTCCTTTGACTTCAGAGCTCACCTCATCAATCATCCAATGACGGCCAGCCTGCATCACCTTTAAACTCTACTTTACTCTGGCGGTGTGCTTGCTTATGTTTGCAAAGCTGGTCTTTAATGACTAATAATACAATCTTAATTCAATTATATATTTTCAAATTAAGACAAATAATTATACTACGTGTTAAGAAACAACGAAAATTTGTAGCTCAAATAGTTAAATGGCTAGTAAATTTGAATGAATTTCGAGATATTACTATATGTTTACACATTCATGTACCTATGTAAAAAACTTTCTTGGTTTGAAGTGTAAACTACACCATTTCAATAAGTTGTATGCATCGATTAAGTAAATGCATGAACTAATACTTAAATACCACAATCACTGCTCTGAATTTCTTGATCATCCAATTGATTGAACCACATGGTTTACGTACACATTACCCCTTTCTTAATCAACCATTCACATCCCAATTGGCATCTGATCCAAAACCAAAGGATTAGATCTTTTTATTCTATAACATATAATTCAGTAGTGATCTAGGCTTTCTACTGATGTTCATACCTTGAGGCACCCTGCATGACAAATTAAATGAACCCTTCTTTTTTAATCATGGAAAATTAAACTGAATTTTATAATGGAATTGGTTTTAGTTAATTCACACAAAAGAGATGATATTAAAGGCCAGCTCAGTGCCTGCAGTTTTTCTCTCCATTATTTGTGTAAACAAACAAACATTAGTAGTGCACATGCTTCTGCTTCATCAGCAAAAATATGACCTCCTCTCTGACCTGACCCTACACCTCCATTACCAACTCTTCAAGGCTCTCTCTATAAATCCCACTTAATTAATCTCATCTCAGCTCACATAACCATAACGCAGTAACTCTCTTTCTCTCTCTCTCTTGATATCTTGAAGGAAATGGCTGTTATGATCAGAAAGCCATATGCCTACTCAAAGATGGACAAGGAGGACCTAGAAGAGGTCATTCATCGACGAGCGCAGTTCTTGATCTACAAAGTGTTGCAGCAAGCAGAAACGCGAAGAAGGCCGTTGAATTTGAGGATCAGAATACGAAAGTTGAAGGTGAAGATTGGGAGGAGATTAAAGAAGTTGAGGAAGAGCATGCTGCTAAGTATATCTGCAGCCAGAGTCTGCGTTTATAAGCAAGTTTTTAGTCAACTGAAAACTTGCAAGACTTTGTTTGGCCGCGGGGAGGGAGCCATTGGCGCCAGTCTTCCAGCTTTGTTCACTTAATTGAACCACTTTTGGTTTTGTTGTGTCTCTTATCGTTTTGAGAAATACCAGGTTGTAATTTTGGTGTTTGATTTTTGCTCACATATAAATATAATATGGGATGTTACATAGTTTGCTTGCTTGATGCTTCTTTTCACATAAACAAGCAATCTCAGCTTGGCTTTGGCTTGAAGATATTTTGGGTTCGTACGCTTGGAAATTATTACATGCAAATGAGCACACAATTAATCACTAATTATAATTAAAGACAAATGAGGGTTCATTTGGGAGTGATTTTATGAGGGCTAAAATTATTTATATATGAGAAGAAGAACCTCCAATGTGCTTCTCCATAATCACTTGAAATAATTTTAAGTAATTTTGAGGAGAAGCACGCTTAGCTTATGGCTTAAGTATAGTTATATGGATCTAATTAACATGCTATACTTACTGACCAATAACATGGCAGCCCTGCAATGTATTGAAGTGTTTTTACCTAATTTTTTGGGGGATTTGGCTGGTAGGTTGGAAAGTTATGGGATATAAATTATGGATGTTGTTTCAATTTTCAAAGATATTCATAGTTTTTGCAAAGAAGTCAACTCCCTCAAGTAATTCCACAATTTATTTCATATATAACTGGCCCAGCTAGACCCACCCATAAATCCAACTAGCCTAATTCCCGTCTGGAAAAGTTCTGGGTTTCGCCTTTAATTATTTACTTAGACTTGACAATCCCATGTTATAATTAATTTAAGTTGCCTTGATTAGGTTCGTCAAAGCTGACTAAATTAAGATAATTAATCACAAGCGTCGGCTGAATTCATGCTTGGCACGCTTTGTCTCATTACGCATTGCACGCCTTTATCTCATTGATTTCCTCCCTCCTTATATTTCATCTCATGCATGATGCATATCATATATGGCAAGAGGTTCAGTTCACGTCAGGTCCTCGGCGGCTCCACCAGATTAATCAACAGGTGTTTCAAGGTGATTGATTAGGACGACAGCATGTTCAGTTCAGCCATGTGGTCTCGGACTTTATATCTGTGGATAAGTTTGTGTTCAAATTTAATCAACTTGAGCTAACTCACGATCACTTCTCGAGCCCGATGCAACAGCTATCTGAACACAATACTTGTACGAACGTAGCTAGCTTATTAACTTTTGATATTGTAATCAAAGATCCAATGAGAATACAAACATGAAATCGATCATCTCCAGTGAAATATAAAGTTGGGCTGCATACCAGAAAAAACTACTGGTCTAAATTTGAGCACATCAGCTTTTTAGAAGAGGAGGAGGAGGCCGCTTCTTGTCTGTCATCCCATTTTTCCAAACGGTTTATAGCCGTGCCCACCTGAAAATAATTAAGATACGCAAGTGTGAATAAACGACACGTCTGGTGAGAAGAACTGGCTTGGACACAACTTCAATCATGTCCATGCCGAGTCATCTTGCTACGGCGAGGTCGAAGTGAGCTCAAGTTCCAACTAGGTCTTTTATTGAGCTTCAAGCCCAATGAAACGAATATCAACATTTGGGCCTGGATCATTGTGGACGGTTCAAGACTGGTTTCTCACATAGTTTTACAGTTGAGCCTTATAGGGCTACTACTAAGATTGGGGAAACTTTGGTCTATTCTGTTCTGCGGTGCCAAATTTAGCCTTGACTGAACATGCGCTCAAGTATTTCTCACAAAGCATATTCATTGAAGTTAATTACCTCTTTATTCCAGTCCGTACGAAATGTTACCCACAGTAGGATGATGGTCTGCATTAATGTTCCTCCTATCATCCCTGTCCAGATCCCCTGTACATTCAAAATCAAAAGATAGTTTTGTCACCTCTCTTTTTTCACCCTACTTTTCTTGTCCAACTCGATGTATGCTAAGTTGGAAGAAGTAGTATTATATAGTGGGAGCTTCTACAATAAGAAGTTTAGAGTAAGGAGCTTATTTGAGTGTTTCAATCCCACCATCAAATCATTTCAAAAGTTTAAGTCCATTGATTTCCTCACATTTGTTGATGGTGCGATTAAACCCCTCAAATAAGCTCCTTACTCTAAACTCCTCATTACAGCCTTTCCGTTATATATATAGTTACCTTAGCACCAAGGTCGAACTTAAATCCAAGAAGACAGCCTAATGGGATCCCAACCACGTAATAGCATCCAACATTCACATACGCCACAAATGCTTGCCATCCACATCCAACAGCCACCCCTACATTAATTAATACAATTTAATTAATTATATATATGCTGATCAATTTCACCTGTTGGAAATATATAGCCTACTATTTTGATGTATAATTATGTTCTCTTGCTTAAATTATTAGTTCAATCCTCAAAAACAATATCACGCACATTTCATTAGTGTTTTGCCAAAAGTATCATATCGGATAATAAAACTAATCAAACCCCAATATGATCCCGAATTCACTCTACCAAATTGATGGTATAGCTAGCTAGCGGAGTATATAAGATATTACGTACCGGACAGGACTGGTTGAATCCCGTTAAGAATAAGGGTGACGGCTAAGTAAGGAGTGAGGTGAGAGACAGCATTGGCCACGGTTTCACCCTCAGTGAAGGCGTAGCTGATGACGTGACGTAAGGAGAGCACAACCACAGCTTCCACGATAGCAATCAATAGCGACACAATTGTTACCATTAGAACTGAGAATGCTGCTGACTTTGGATTCCCAGCACCTAGCTCGTTGCTTACCCTCACACTGTTACCAAAAATATCATTAACTGTATGTTAATTTCATAACCATAACATTACACTTAATTTTTTTTATACCTTGCAGCTGCATTAAACCCGACTGAAACCATGAGCAGCAATCCAGATATCCCCATGCTGCATGCATATAAGGCCACGAAACCAACACTAATTACTTATTAATCCACAAATTTATACATTTAGACACGTATATAAATAAGTGGGTGGAAATATCCCTACTTGAACATTTAATTTGGTTAATTACGTGTTTATATAAGGAATTGGGTGAACTCCGCATGCATGAGTGAATGATGGCAATAATGGAAAGGAGCTCTTACACTTACATTGGGGCCTGGGGCTGTCCTTTACACAGGATAATGATAACGCACTTAATTGTCTTGTCTGTCCTTCTGTCTAACAGGGTTGTACATATTTATTGTAGAAAGCTTTAACTTGTTTAATTTTTTATGAAGAAAAAAAAGGTGTAATGCATGTTCATCAGGAAAAAGGAAAAGTCCCAAGGAAAGAAAGACTTTACTTTCTCTTTTAGTTAATTAGGGTTAGACCAATCATTGTGATTTCAATAGCCAGCTAACTATAAAGGTGAAGTTACAGTAGACAGTGAAAATTAATTAGGCAGGCATCAGATGATTTTTGTTCTTACCATATGGCCAAAGAATTTAACGCGAGCTCAGGGTTCTCCAGCAACCCAGCAATCAACACTAATACCTGAAAGTACCAAGTCTCCAAGCACAGCATCACAGCCGATGCAGCCGATAGCTTCAGAAAATCCCACAACCCAGAAAACGCTTCCAAACTAAACCCAGTCCACGTCCCCTTGCACCGACTGCTCTTTAGGATGTAAATAAACTGGGCCCCAACTATGATCCACCACGACAAGCTCAGAACCAAAGACGCACCTATCAACCCCATGCCCAACTTGTACACAGCTACCCAGCTCAGCACTAAATGCACTCCAAGTGTAGCTGCTGATATGTAGGCACTTGGGGCCACAATTCTCTGGGCTTGAAGAAACTTTTGCATCGGGAAGTTGATGGCGTAGGCGAAGATTTGTGGGATGAGGCCGTAGACATAAACGGCTGCTGCTGCAGCCAGCTTTGGTGTCTCACCAAATAAGATCAAGATGGGTTTGGATAGAAGGAAGATGAGAAGCAGTGGAAGGCCAGTGAGGGTTAGGACTATGGTTGCTCTTTGGAGGTATATGCCTAACATGTCATAATTTTCGGCACCGTAGGCTTGTCCACATAGAGTCTCCAGTGCACTTCCCATGCCTAACTGCATGAGACAAGAGCCACACAGACGGCAAAAGATAAGAATGACAACATAACAATGTGCCACGTCAACTCTTAGTTGACAGAGTGAAACATAACAAGAGTTAAGGTTGGACGTGTACCATGAGGCCGTAGGCAAAGAGTTGGATGCCGCTGTTGCCGAGGGAGGCGGCGGCGAGCTCAAGGTTGCCGAGGTGGCCGGCGAAGAGACGAGTGGAAAGTGACATGAGGTAGTTAACGATATACACCAAGACGGCAGGGGCTGCAAGGCGAAAGAGGAGCTTGAGTTCAATCCAAGTGGCCAGGCGGAGTCTCTTGAAGGAGGACAGCTGGGTGTCAGATAGCACCTTCTCAAGTGGAGACTCGAAGCCATCGCCATGGCCAGAGGCTTCGGCTGCTGCTAAGTCGGGTTCGGAGTCTAAGATGGGTTGGCGGAGTTGGTCTTGATCATTGACCATATTGGACTAACAAACTATGGTTATGGTGTTTGTGGAGGCTTTGCCACAATTTGATGTATCCAGCAAATGGTTGCTTTTTTTGTTGGACGAAAACGAAATGGGTGCTTGGAAAGAATAATATTGACGGTAAGACAAGGAATTCGTTTTCGACACGATATGGGAGGAAATAAGTTTATTTCGGCATCAGGCTATAATATATATGATATGAAGTTGCAAAAATATACAAAGGGCAGAAATATGCTTTATCGATCATGCATTAAGTATTGAGGTGACGGGTCGTCCGTTTAAGCGCATGCATACGCAAATCCGATTTGTATTTTTATACCTACTCAACATTTATACTTAATTTTCAATTGATTTCTACTATATTGATTGTGACTTGTCATTGCTGCGTTGCTGGGCACTGACGAGACCTGATTGGCGCATTTACTAGTAGCATGGACTAGGGAGCTGACCAACTAATTAATTTAAAATCAGACCCCACAAAAAATGACATGGTTCTAGTTCAATTTCAATGAAAAAGAATTTTGACTTGCACACCATTTCGAACTCCCATTTGTTCATTAACACATTACAAATGTATTTGATCATCTGAATTATTTCAGTAAAATATA